GCCGGCTGCAGGGAGACCCGAGGTAAGGGAGGTCCCCGGCCGCCACCCGGCTCCCTGCCCTTCTCAGCCGCGCTCCAAGCGTTGCACGTACCGGCCCCATCGCCCGAGAAACCGTGGGGAGGAAGGAAAGCGGCGGAGACGGCGAGCGACCGGCCGCGGCCACCCGGGGCGAAAGGCGCCTTCGGGCAGCCGTCAGAGAGGATGCAGCAGGCACCTTCAGCCACGGCAGCAAAACCGCGGTCAGGCCCCGCTTGCTATATCTAAACCGCTCGGATTTTTAATTAAATACATTACGGAAAAGTGTCCTTCGTTAGTATAATCAAGGGCAACTGCTTTGAAGTCATTCTGCACGACTAATAGGTGGGTTTGTGTCTTAAATTAAGGGAAATGGAAACGCCGGGCAGCGTCAAACCCATCGCGATGCAGAAGCTGCCGGGAATTTCAGTGTCGATGCAGACAGAAGCGAGCTGGCTTCATGAACAGGCCCACGGAAAACCAAGTAAGAAACAGCGTTGTTCAAGAAAGAGGTTGCTCACCAGTATTGTCTTTCACTCAGGCTGCCTCATACCCCAGCGTCTTTCATAGAAGACACAAGTTTGCAATTTCCCAGAGATGCTTTTGCAAACTGGCGGCAGGCCCAGGAGCAGCCCCCAGGAATCCCCCTCTGCGGTCCCCTCCTTAACCCCTCTGCAGAGCTGCTTCGAAATGAGCCTCTGGGGCCCCGCTAAGCGCTCAGGGACGCCCTGACAGCCAGCAGGCCTAGGAGCGCTCAGCAGATGGCAGAAATAGCGTATTGTATTCCTCTGAGAGGTACTGGCAAAGCCTCTAAGGAGAGCTGAAAATACATCAGCCTCTTTTCTCCTCCCGCCCAGCTGAGTCATCCCCGCACGTGACCAAGCAACCAGCTCCTTCGCTGGCCCGCTGCAGTACAGCGTTGTACCGTAGCACGCAGCATATTGGTGGTACTTGCTGCCTGAACCCATCCCTTTTGGGCACCACACTGAACAGCCTTTGTGCTTGACTTTCGATGCCAGGCAGCCCTCCTCTGTAGGAGGACGTCTCCCACATCTCACATGCCTCTGAGAGCAGGAGGAGTGATCTG